TGTTTATTATTATATTTCGAAAACACCACAGTTTCCATGCAGCTCATACCATATTATTTTGTTGTATTATTTCCGCCACACCTTAAATGCCGGTCCCTGAAAATATTGTCTGACATAAACCGGTCCGTGGGGCAAAAAAGGTTGGGGACCCCTGCTTTAAAGTATTGAACATTTGTTCACTGGTCCTGTTTGTGTTAGACCTGTCGTTTACACTTGGAGTTACTCAGTTACCTTTTTCAGATTGATCCTATTTGGACTGATTCATTTCAGAATAAAAATGTTTTGTTACACTTGTATGTTTGATCATTGAGAGTGAATGCCATCGGGAAACTATTGGAGCAATCGCAATTCTAGAACCCAGCAACTCAGCGTAGATCAGGGGTGTCAAACTCATTTTTGTTGTGGGCCACATTGTAGTGACAGTTTCCCTTGCAGGGCCATTAAGACTGTGAATTTTGGAAAACCATATAAATGTTTAATTACCTCCACATATTACATACATGGCACACAACAAATTGATGGATAACTTGTTTTAAAATCAGAAGTCAAGAATAATTACTTGTTTAAAAATTGTTTACATTAATGTAATCAGGGGTTTGGTACTGAGAATATGCTTGCAATACTGTATCATTGTCATGGTTCTGTTTGTGACCAACAGGTGGCACTGTAAGGCCACCTGATTAGTTGTTTAAAATGACTCCTGGCACAACCACTCAGTGTCGGGTCATTGTTTGTCTCTGTCATAGTTTCTGTTACTGTCAGTTTTTTGCTCCAGCCATGGTTTTTGTTTGTTACTTTGGATTCTTTTTGTTTTCATGACTTTGTTTTGGATTTAGTTTCCTCAGTATTTTGTTCATACAATTTGTCTGGTTCACCCTGCTCCTCCTTCCTGCCTGCTTTTTGGGGTCCTCCACCACCCTGTATCGTGACAGAATGACCCGATCAACTACTGGTCCCCGCAGGTATAAAGGACTGGTCCCAGTTCCACCCTGTGCCTGTCGGAGCACATCTGCGGCCGACACCCTTTCCCCTTCAGGCAGCGCAGGTCATGCGGCTGTCCCATGTTCTCCGTCACGTCAAGCCACGTCCACAGTAGGCCGAGCCCTATCCGCGTCCACGTTGAGCCGAGCCACGTCGCGTGCCTGTTTGAATTTAGTCACATCCACGTCCACGATGAGCCGAGCCACGTCCCCGTCCATGTCAGGCCGAGTCCCGTCCACGTCAGGCCCTCCCATGTCCCCCGTCACGCCGAGCTCAGTCCAAGTCAGGCCAAGCCCAGCCATGTGCTGACTGTTTTGGGACTTCTGGAATCAGTCCCTTGAGGGAGGGGTACTGTCATGGTTCTGTTTGTGACCAACAGGTGGCACTTTAGGGCTTCGCCTGCAGCTACACACCTGTTGGTCGTTGTGTCATTAGTTGTTTTAAAAGGGCTCCCGGCACGACCCATCAGTGTCGGATCATTGTTTCTGTCAGGTTTCTGTTTGTTTCGGTCATGTTTCTGTTACCGTTAGTTTTTTGCTTCAGCCATGGTTTTTGTTTGTTACTTTGGATTCTTTTTGTTTCCATGACTTTGTTTGTTTGGATTTATTTTGCACAGTATTTTGTAATGATGGCAAACTGAAGCATCATGAAGCAATGAGGCTTTCCATCCAATTGGTTTGCTCCTGGGCCGAAGCATCATGAGGCTTCATTTGTTCTATTGCGCCTTCATGTGGAAAATAAATGTTATGACAGACAGAGTGATTAAAATGATACCATGGATTTGATGGGGTCAAAAGGGCAGGGAGTTGTGATGTGAATGAATGTGCATGTGTAACGTGCAAGAATGATTGCTTTATTTTAGACATTGACAGATAAACAAGGAACAAGACACACCTTTCATTCATTTTTATTGAGGAAAACTAGCATTTCCATGTTTTTGGCTTTAAACCGTTTCTTTTTTTAGATAGGATTTCTCCTGCTTTTGAAAATAGTCTTTCGCAAGAGACGGATGAGGCCAGGGTACAGAGAAAGGTTATTGCTAGTTTGTAGAGGTTTGGGTAGACATGTTTGTGCAGCTCCCAGCTATGCTGTTTTTTCATTGCATGTTAAAATGGCTTACCTGGGCGTGGTTCTATTTGACTTGTCTCCTAATTTTCATGCATGTCTTGTTTCATAATGTCTCAACATAGATGAAGTCTTCTCTTGGTACCCAAGTTCTTTCGAACAAAGTTTACACTTCACCTTTCGAAATATCAGCAAGTAGAAGAAAGACATTAAAACTAGGGATACACTGTGTTGTCACAATAATTTACAATATATATTCACACTGGTTATTATAATTTGTACCTTTTTAAGAGAGATCTGCTCAAAATGATCCCAGACAGGGGATGTTCTCTTCTTTTTCGTTGTGGACGGCGGGGTGCATCCATTGCAAAACGAATCCGATTGAATTGAGTTTTGAAGATGCGAGTTGGGCGTGTCAGTGTCACTTGTCAGCTCATTGTTGTCTCGGTTTATTTCGAGTCATCCGCGAAACTATGTGTTAGCGATGACGTAGGAAGCCCGTCTCGCAAGGCTTCGGACGTAGCAATGCGCGTTCCGAGGCTTCGGGCGTGGCCACAAGCGTAACACATGCCTCGATGCGCGCTTCACAGATTTTTTTTTCCGGTTTACTCGGCACACGCATCGGCGCCTCGGCACAATAGGGCACATCACTAGTATTTTGTTAATACAATTTGTCAACTTCACCCTGCTCCTCCTTCCTGCCTGCTTTTTAGAGTCCCCCACCACCACGCAATGTGACAATCATGTTTTTATAGATAACATATGACAGTTTGAAATGTTGGTTTAGACTTTAGCAAATGTCATGGAACTTGACATGCTTGATTTACTTTTGCGGCCCGCATAAAATGATGTGGTGGGCCAGATCTAGACCCATGCCTTGACTTCGACACCTGTGGCATAGATGATGCCAAACAGATTACAATTAACAGTACTGCAGACAATACACTTTATAGAATTGCTGTTTTACAAGTCATATGCATTAATTAGAGAAATGCAAAGATCTCCTACACTCTCTTGTATTTCAAAACAAATTGGCATAATTTAGGTTCTTTCTGTCTCGCAGGACCTTCATCAGTTTTTCATCCTGATGAAGATGAAAAACGTTCATCTACATAAAGACAATTCTGTTTGCAACATAAGACAATGCAGGATATTTTTTAATTGCCCCCTCCGTCCCCCCACAAGTTTGACATAGTAACAATGTAAAAATAAAACATATCAATTTGGGTGAACTCTCAAAGAAGCTTGATATTGAAGTAATGTCAAAACAAAATCACTCAAATCTTGATTAGAAATCCATCAAATTGATGTAAAAGGACTGATGTCATGTTGATTTACTTTTTTGACCATATTATGATGACAATTGGATGTCAGAGTTTGATGTCATATAGGTGTTGAAATTACATTAGATGTCCGCCTGGGAATAGACTGATGTCATTTTTTTTTCCACATTGGCAGCTCTAAGTCTATTTTCAAATGTAGAGACTAAAAGTAAAGGTGGTAAAAAATTAATAAACTACCCTAACTAGTGTTGTTACGATACCTATAGTGAAGCATAGTAGTGGCACTAACAGGAAATGAGGATGATTTTCAGTGGTAAGAACTGGGAAACTAATTTGGGTTGAAGGAAAGATGAATGGAGCAATGCACAGAGAAATCCTGGATAAAAACCTCCACCAGAGTGCTCAGGTCCACAGAATGGGGAGAAGGTTTACCTTCCAACAACAATTATAGCAAACAGCTTGCCGTGTTTGACTGCCACATGCCAATAGAGAGAGAGTAGAATTTAATTAAATGCAGCTCTCGAAAGCATGTGCACTCCACTGTAGTCAATCAGCGGCAGCCGGATGTTGTCTCAGCTCCTCAATACGAGGAATTCCTGCGAGGGCGTTGTTAAGTTCTGTCAGAACTTCACATCACTGGATCCGCTGGCTCTTTGTCCTTAAAGGAGAAGTCGCCCCCAAATTTTCTTTCCAAGAACATGTTTATGCACCTGCGCTAGTCAAAACACAGAGTCTTGTTTAATACTGCGTTTGTGAAATCTGAATAAACCAGCAACATCCCAGATGGTGGCCATTTTGACACTTGCTGTCATCTAAAAATGACATTGCAGGTGTTCAAAATTAGAATCAAATTTCTTGGCCAAGTATGGAAATCACACAAGGAATTTACTTTCCCAGTTACAGCCCGTCCAAAGCCCGTCCAACAATAAGCGTCCCAATATTTTGGATGTGAAAAGAAAACACTAGGGCTCAACCAAGTACCAAACACAGCTCACCTGTTTTCCTAGTTTGGTCATGCGATATTCTCAAAATGAGCCGTGATTGGTCGTTACCTCATCTTATTAATTCCTATTTTCCTGTCTTTGTCTACACCCTTGCTGAGGGGTGACAGCAGTGTCCTAACGAGTTTTATGTAGTTTGCAAAATTTTAGGGTGCAGCAGAAATTCAAGGCCCTTGCCGTGGAAAGTTACAACAGCAAACAACTATGGCTCAGGTCTGGGTCTAAAACATGCGCCTTAAGGACTCCAATCCCTTCGATGCCAAACCAGAACCTGCTATCAAAATGAGGAGAGAGATGAACAAAACTGTTTCACTCACCAATAACCTACGGCTAGTCTTATCCAAAATAACGAAACAAACATTTAAAAATATTGTTATAATATTTCACTGGGGGACACCCTGAACCAGTTACCAGCCAAATCGCTGGGCACACAGAGACGAACAACGATCCCCACTCACACTCACACCTAGGGACAATTTGGAGCATTTAATCAACCTACCATGCATGTTTTTGGAACGTGGGAGGAAACCGGAGTACCCGAGGAAAGCCCACGCAAACACGGGGAGAACATGCAAGCTCCACACAGGAAGGCTGGAGCCGGGATCGAACCCACGACCTCTACACTGTGAGGTCAATGTGCGAAACCACCCGCCCACCATATGAGAATGTTTCAGAAAAAGCACAAACACTTTGAATAGATGAGTTTTTCTGTCTGGGGATGTGCTAAAATGGGGGGAAAAATTGCTTCAAGCCTGCTTTTGGTGGATGTCATTCTCACCTTGACATTTATGTGTCTGCGATTCAGACACATTCAAATTCGGACTCATTCTACTGTGGAGTCAGGATTCAAGGATAGTAACGCATTGTGACATTTGTGTCAGCAAAAATCCATGATGCTTGCGCCATAAAACAAATTAGAATTCTTCATCATTACAAGAAA